AACCATTTTTCCCCCTTCCCCATGGTCTTCTGTTAAGTTTCTCAAGATCCACATATGAGTGAAAATATATAACTGTCTTTCTCTGACTTATTTCACTTAGCATAATACCTCCAGTTCCATCCACGTTGCTGCAAATGGCATGATTTCATTCTTTCTCATTGCCAAGTAGTATTCCATTGTATGTATAAACCACATCTTCTTTATCCATTCATCAGTTGATGGACATTTAGTCTCTTTCCATAATTTGGGTATTGTTGAAAGCGCTGCTAGAAACATTGGGGTACATGTGCCCCAATGCATCAGCACTCCTGTATCCCTTGGGTAAATTCCTAGCAGTGCTATTTCTGGGTCATAGGGTATTTCTGTTTTTAATTTTTTGAGGAACCTCCACACTGTTTTCCAGAGCGGCTGCACTAGTTTGCATTCCCACCAACAGTGCAAGAGAGTTCCGGTTTCTCTGCATCCTCACCAGCATCTATAGTTTCCTGATTTGTTCACTTTAGCCACTCTGACCGGTGTGAGGTGGTATCTCAGTGTGGCTTTGATTTGTATTTCCCTGATAAGGAGTGACATTGAGCAGTGTTTCATGTGTCTGCTGGTCACCTGGATGTCTTCTTTGGAAAAGTGTCTATTCATGTCTTCTGCCCATTTCTTCACTGGATTATTTGTTTTTAGGGTGTGGAGTTTGGTGAGTTCTTTATAGATACTAACACTTTATATGATACGTCATTTGCAAATATCTTCTCGTCGGTTGCCTTTTAGTTTTGTTGATTGTTTCCTTTGCAGTGGAGAAGCTTTTTATCTTGATGAGGTCTCAATAGTTCATTTCTGCTTTTAATTCCCTTGCCTTTGGAGATGTGTCGAGTAAGAAATTGCTGCGGCTGAGGTCAAAGAGGTTGTTGCCTGTTTTCTCCTCTAAGGTTTTGATGGTTTCCTGTCTCACATTTAGGTCTTTCATCCATTTTGAGTTTATTTTTGTGTATGGCGTAAGAAGTGGTCTAGTTTCATTCTTCTGCATGTTGGTGTCCAGTTCTCCCAGCAGCATTTGCTAAAGAGACTGCCTTTTTTCCATTGGATACTCTCCTGCTTTGTCAAAAATTAGTTGGCCATACATTTGGGGGCCCAATTCTGGGTTCTCTATATCAGTCCATGTGTCTGTTTTTGTGCCAATACCATACCATCTTGATGATTACAGTTTTGTAGTAGAGGCTAAAGTCTGGGATTGCGATGCCTCCTGCTTTGGTTTTCTTCTTCAGTATTACTTTGGCTCTTCGGGGTCTTTTGTGGTTCCATACAAATTTTAGGACTGTTTGTTCTAGCTTTGCGAAGACTGCCGGTGCAATTTTGATTGGGATTGCATTGAATGTGTAGATTGCTTTGGGTAGTATTGACATTTTAACAACATTTATTTTCCAATCCATGAGCATGGAATGCTTTTCCATTTCCTTGCATCTTCTTCAATTTCCTTCATAAGCTTTCTCTAGTTTTCAGCATATAGATCTTTTACCTCTTCGGTTAGGTTTATTCCTAGGTATTTTATGATTATTGGTGCAATTGTGAATGGGATCAGTTTCTTTGTTTGTCTTTCTGTTGCTTCACTATTGATATATAAAAATGCAACCAGGGGTGCCTGGGTGGCTCAGTCGGTTGGGCGGCCGACTTCGGCTCAGGTCATGATCTCGCGGTCCGTGAGTTCAAGCCCCGCGTCGGGCTCTGTGCTGACAGCTCGGAGCCTGGAGCCTGTTTCAGATTCTGTGTCTCCCTCTCTCTGACCCTCCCCCATTCATGCTCTGTCTCTCTGTGTCTCAAAAATAAATAAACGTTAAAAAAAAAATTTAAAAAAATGCAACCAATTTCTGCACATTGATTTTGTACCCTGCGACTTTGCTGAATTCATGTATCAGTATTGGAGATACAGAATTAAATAAAATATTATTATTATTTTTAATGTTTGTTTATTTTTTGAGAGAGAAAGAGACAGAGCATGAACAGGGGAGGGGCAAAGAGAGAGGGAGACACAGAATCCCAAGCAGGCTCCAGGCTCTGAGCTGTCAGCACAGAGCCAGATGTGGGGCTCAAACTCACAAACTGTAAGATCCTGATCTGAGCTGAAGTCAGACGCTTAACCGACTGAGCCACCCAGGCGCCCCAAAAGCTGGTGGGTTTTTGTTATTGCTGTTGTTTTGTTTTTAAAGAGTGATAGGGTTGTTATGGTCTAAGTGTTGGTGTCCCCCTGCAATTCATGTTGAAATCCTAACCCCCAGCGCGATGGTGTTAGGAGGTGGGGCCTTTCTGAGGTGATTAGGTCTTGAGGGGGGAACCCTCAGGCGTGGGAACTGGTGGCCTTATAAAAGAAGCCCCAGAGAGCTCCCTCCACCCTTCCACTACGTGAGGACCACAGTGAGAAGATAAGACAGCGCCTGGGTGGTTCAGTCGGTTAAGCATCCAAGTCTTGATTCTGAGGTCATGATCTCACGGTTCACGATACAGAGCCCTGCGTTGAGCTCTGTGCTGACAGCGTAGAGCCTACTTGGAATTCTTTCTATCCCTCCCTCTCTCTTTCTCTGCCCCTCCTTCGTGGGTGGGCATGCTCTCACGCTCTGTCCCTCCCCTGCGCTGTCTCTGAAAATCAGTAAACATTAAAAGAAGAAGAAGAAGAAGAAGAAGAAGAAGAAGAAGAAGAAGAAGAAGAAGAATTAGTGCCATAACCATCTCTTTTGGGCCTGCAGTTTCTTCCAGTCTAAAGGCACAGAAATGGCCCCACGACTCCTCGGCCCGCCTCCCGTGGTTCACTCTGAGGGACCCGTTCCCTGCGCTGAAGGGGCGCAGGTCTGGATTGGAAATAGACACACTCTTGAGCACTGCCGGCCGCCGGATGAGGGACGCTCTGGGGCCACAGGGGACGAGGTTGGAGGAGTCTTCAGGGGGAGCCCTCTAAGCGGGGTCTGCAGCAAGAACAGGTGTTTGCCAGGGTGGAAGGAGGTGGGCGAAGCGAATGAGGGCTAGAGGTAAAGCACGAGGAAAGGTAGTAAGACGAATTAAGAAAGAAGAAGGGCTGTCGAACGGCTGGAGCCCCGGGAGCGTGAGCGCGAGGACCAGCGTGTGACGCGCAGGACTGGGCAGCGCGTTGAAACAGTCCTAGGGTCGGGATGCATCTCCCAGCCACCGGGGAAAGCACTACCCTGCGCTAACTCCCAGATCACATCCAGGGAGGGCAGCCGGCAACCCCCGCGGGAATGGAGCGAGGCTGTGCCCCCCAGGTAGGGACCTCGGAGTCCCGGTACCCGAAGTCCAGGGAAGCCGCGACTTTGGGCAGAACCATTCTCCGGAGGTGGAGAGGAGAATAGAAACCCTGCACTCGGAACCAAGCCCATGGAACCGGCCGGAACCGCCATTCGACTCTCTCCTTGTTCTGATTTTTTGCGCTCTGCTCCACCACCTCCGTCCCCTCGCGCGCGACTCCCAGTCCCGGGCACCACTGGTTGCTCCCTGGCTGCCCCCTCCCGCGCGTGGTACGGGCCGGCGGGCGAGCACTCCAGGCGCAGGTTATAAAGGCGGGGCTGCGGAAGCAGACTGCGGACTCAAGATGAGCCCGAAAGAGCCCGGGCAGGGCCTCGTGGGGCACCGCTTCAGAACCCGGGCTCCAGTGGGAGTCACCCCCGCACCCCCACCCACAGCCCATTCCTCTCCAGAGCCCTCAGCGCAGCCTGCACCCGCCCCTGCGCAGGCACTGACGGAAGGACCGCGAATGGGATCCAGATCCCCATCCGTCTCGGTACCCGCCCCCGCCGGAGCTCGCCCGACCTCCAAGGCTGGATCCCCGACAGGAACACCGCGCGCGTCCGCATTCGCAGCCTCCCAGCGGAATGCCCAGTTTGGGCCCGGCAACTCGGACGCGCAGTGGACTCGCTTCATATTCCGAGGGCCCTTTGGTCCCCGGGCCACTGGCCTGGGGACTGAGAAGGCGGCGGGCATCTGGAAGACGCCGGCTGCCTACATTGGACAGCGGCCTGGGGTGTCGGGCCCCGAGCACGCCGCCTTTATTCGGGAGCTGGAGGAAGGTAAACCGGGTCCCCGGGACCCCAGAGCGGGTGGGACCTGGGTATTTCCAGGCAGAAGGGCGGGGGGGGGGGAGGGGGGGCGGCGGTTCCAGGCGCCCCGCCCCCTCTGGCGCTCAGTCTCACCCTTCCACCCACTTGCGTTGTCACTGCGGTGCCTGTTCGGACGCCTCTTGCCCTTCTTCTCCAACCTTCTGTCGTCCCCTGATTGCTGTCGGAGGGTCAGGTCGGCGCACCCGCGCGCTCGTCCGCCCGGCTCTGCGCGCCTGTTGCTCCCCAGATCTGCTCACTCTCACAGTTCCCCCTGCCCCGCCCCACTCAGTCAATCGCAATTCCAGGAGAGGGGCGGGGGGCTGCGGGAGGGCGCTGCCAGGCTCGCTCTGAGCGTGTGCTCGCCCGCCGCACCAAGCTGGGGAGGTGGGTGGGCGGAGGTGGGTGGGAAGGTTTTGTCAACCTTTTGGCTGCGGGTGTGGAAGCCCGGCTTTTCCCAGCCTCGGGGTGGGCGGGGCCTCAGGTTTCTTCCCCTTGTACCCTCTCCTGGGTCGCGGGAGATCTCTGGATTAGGTCTAGAGGCTCAGGAGCCCCTACTGCGTGCTGGAAAAGTCTCTCCCGCCTCTCCACACGCAACAGGTGCAGGGTGGGTGACTGCGTCTGTTTCATGACCCATGAGGCTCCAGTCGGCCGAGAGCGCCCTCCGGGTAAGAGGTGATGAGTCAGTCTGGGGCTGTACTGTCGCTAGCCTCCTGCATTCCCCTGGTACCAGGGACCCGGGCGTCCTGAGAACTCATTTCCACCTGAGCTTGGAGGACTGTGATCCCTTGACCTCACCCAGGCCCCTCCAGGGCACAAAAGAGCCCATTTGGCCCTGGGAGCAGGGGAAAGGAGTGCTGGGTACTGGGGGTGTCTGGAGAGAATAGTGGGGGCAGGAAGGGAGCTCTCTTGTCGCTGACTCTTGTTGAGGGAGAACTGAGGATCGGGTAGGAAACAGTGGGATGTGGGGTAGCATATGTCCTCCCTTTTCCCACCTTGGCCTCCACTCCTGCTTTTGCAGCGCTGTGCCCTGACCAACCCCCACCAGCCGGGATCACCCAAGAAGATGTCAAAGTGATGTTAAATTTGCTAGAGAAGCTGTGTACTGCTTTCCCTGTCCAGCCCAGCCTGAGCCTTAGCCAGGCCTCTGTTTTCATTCTCCCCTGGAGGGGTAGCAGTCTTGTCTTTTTCCTGCTTGATTATTTCTCTGGGAGCCGAGCCAGGGGTCCCTCTTATGGAAGGCAGGTATATGCCGGATATCCAGGCCGGAATTGCTTGTAGAGCTATCTGGTCTGATGTGCTCTTCTCCATAAGGGGAAGCTGAGTCAGGCCCCACAGTGTGTCGATGGCAGACTTTTTTCTAGTACCCTGGAAAACTAGGGTGTGGGGAAGGTTTCCCCTAGTGGCCTAGCTTCCCTTTGACCCCTGTGTACTCCCTTGCTTCTCCCACCAGTCTGGGAGAGCCCAGAAAACAGGAAAGTATTCCCCGTGGATGGGGGTCCCTCTGCAGAGAGAGCGGGACCTAAATACTGCAGTTTGCATTGGCCAGTCCCTGGTGAGACAGAACAGTGTTCTGATGGGGGAGCACAGCAAACTGGAAGCCATGCTGGGCTCAGCCAGGGAGGACGTAACCAGGCAGGGAGGAGGGGAGGGAGTGTGCCATCTCAGACCTACCTACAGCACCCCCACCCCGCCCCGTGCCTGGACCTGTGCTCGCCCCTGCCTGCGTTCCGACGGGGCCCCTCTCCCCCACTGCCAGATTTTACACCTCAGATACCAGGTGAGCTTGAGAGATGACCTCCTTCAGCTCTACTCAGACTCTGAGGAGGAGGAGGAGGAAGAAGAGGAGGAGGAGCCGGAGGAGGAAGAGCAGCAGCACTATCATTCCTATGGAGCCCCTGAGCCGTGAGTGTCCTGCCTTTTCACCTGGGCAGCCCCTTCTCCGTGCCTCAGTTTCCCCGTGTGCAAACAGGAACACTGACGGTGCACCTGCCGGCAGGGTTGCTGGGACTAATGGAGACCGCCACCCTGAGCCCGGGTGGGCAGCCCCCGGGTGGGCTGGGACCTGGGTCCCCCACCCCCTGGCTTCTGTGGCTCTCACCCCTAGGACTTGTCTGCGGGAGATGGAGGTCCTACATGACTGCCCGCAGCTGGAAGCCCTGCAGGAGCAGCTGAGGCTGCTGGAGGAGGAGAACGAGCAGCTGAGGGAGGAGGTGAGCAGGTGGGCAGAGGGCACATCCGTGGCCAGGGGGTGTTGACTCCCCTGCCCCTGCCTCTCTCCCTCCCTCCAGGCCTCTCAGCTCTACCCCCTTGATTGTGTGGAGCAAGTTTTGTACGTGAAGTTGTAACTTGGGGTGGGGGGAAGAACTCAGAACTCGGAGTTTGGAGACCTGAGTTCGAGTCCCCACTCTGGCATTTCTTAGCGGTGTGAGCTTGGACGGTGTTCCTCGACCCGCTGAACCTCTGTCGTTGGCATGGGGAGGAGTACTCTCAGCCCTGTGGACCCTTCCAGAGGCACAGCTGAGGAAGTGCTTTCTGCACCCTGTAAAATGCTGTACAGAAGCCCCAGGGTCCCTCTAAGCCTGTGGCCTTTTGTTATTTGGGGCACAGGAAGAAGGGGCCTGGAAGCAAGGAAGGGAAGGAGCCGGGAGCTGCCAGAGACCAGGCGCTGAGGCACCGGGGCCAGGCCAGGGGCTGTGCTGCTACTGTGTGTTTATGAAGAAGAGGGAGGCATAGCGTTGGTCCCTGGGGAGCTCAGGTCTGGCTGTGAGCTGCAGACACAAGATGGCTGAACTCATGCTGTTCCCCTCCCCCCAGGCCTGACCTTCCTTCCCCCTGGGTTCCTCAGCTCCCCCGTTGGCCCACGGGTCCCCAGGTCCCTGGCATGGGAACTGGTCCCTAAGTTCTGTTGCTTCCACCTCCTCAGAGAGGCTAAATTGTCTTTTCTCCTCCTCACCTCCCTGACTCTAGCCCAGGCCCCCCGTCTTAACCGGTCGCCCTGCCTGGATTGCTGCCCTTCCGGGTCATTCTGCACACAGCCCAAATAAGTTTCCTAAAACCAAATCTGACCACGTCATCCTCTGCCTAAAACCCCAAGTTTCCCATTGGCCAAAGGGTAACCTCAACCCCCACCCCAGCCCCAGCGTCAGAGCCCTCCCAGTGTCTTGTGATTGCCTCCAGGCCTCTCCACCCCCTGTCTGGGCCTTGTTTGCCATTCTGTGCCTGGCGGAGCCCCGCTTGCCCCGCAGAGGCAGACCTCGTAAGGCAGGACAGGGTGTCACAGCTGAGACCCCCAGCGCGCCCACTGTACTCGCTCCATCGGAGCCCAGCCTACGCACTGGCAGGATTTCCTCGCCCATCACTTTCCCCACTAGACTTGAGCCCCGTGTGTGCTGGGACCAGGCCTGGCAGACTGGTCACCCAGGGCCTTGCTCCGTGTCAGTTAACTAACATTTATGGAAAAGAGACCAAGTGAG